TCTTATTTAAAATATTTCTATGAATTCAAAAATTTTTTTTATAATTCTCCGAAAGAGAATCTTGCCTTTGTGACTTGTGGTGTTCGGGTCTGGTGAGTTCCAACTCATCCGTCATTGGTTATAGAATAGTTGAGCCCTTCATTTAAAAAAAAGTTGTATGTGTATTTACTTTTGAGAGAGACAGAGAGAGTGAGCAAGGGACAGGCAGAGAGAGAGGAAGACACAGAATCTGAAGCAGGCTCCAGACAGAGCTGTCAGCACAGAGCCCAACCCAGGGTTCGAACCCATGAACTGCAAGATCATGACCTGAGCCAAAGTCAGATGTTCAACCGACTGAGCCACCCAGGCACCCCCAGAAACAAAAATTTTTAAATTATATATATATGTAATATATCTTATATATGTATATTCTAATATATAACTTATAAATGTATGTATTTTATATATGTAAATGTAATCTTTGCCCATTAGATGCTGATTGTTTGCATAATTTATGTTATTCATTCTTCACTTACTAGTTGACAGAGGCAGTAAGTGACAGAACAAAGATTCAGAGTGAATACTGGCTCCAACTTCAGTCCCCAACCCCTAGGAGATATGGCCCCTCTCAAATGGTTAGTAGTTTGTGTCTTTTACTAACTCTGTCATCTCAACCACATTACCTAATCTCAGAAAGACCAAGTTTTCTCATATGTGACTTGTAGGTGGTAGAAGCTAGTCTATCATATTTTTATGAGAGTTCCATAGACTAAAGTGGAATAACATCCATTATGTAGAAGCCACTTAGCAAACATTAGTCCTCTTCCTTATAAATAAGACAGTTGAAATTCCTGAGCTTTTTATTATTTCCCAAGTGTCATCCTCCATCTTGTTTCCCAACTGTTCTACCCAGAAAAAAATAAATAAATAGGAGGTTGCTCTTTTTAGCTTCTGAAAACATTCATCTCAATTCCTTTCTTGAATGTGAATTCAAAGGCACAGAGGCAGACTTTCAAGAAAGTGTGCCTCAATTGCATCGCTAAAGCAGGTGGCCCGTGAATCTAACTTATCCAACAGCCAAGTCATTCCTAAAGTCAGCAGTTGAATCAATGGGCCCTGACTCATCGATGGGTCAGGATATTCATTTCCTGGGTTATAACCAGCATTTCTTTTAATACAGTAAAAGACAAAGAAAACCAAATAGATTTTGAAATATCACTTTATTATACACGGATAGGTCAAAGAAAGTAAGTTTTATTTTGTGTGACTTATTTCAGTTGTGTTTCTTCTGTGAACACTACTTTACAATGTTACTTCAATTCATTGGTGGTTTCTTGGAGGTAAGTGCCACAATCAAGGGGCCCTTAAGGAACTTCTTTTGTAACCTAGGCTAATATAAATTGATAATCTCATATTAACTTGGTTCAGAAGTTGCCTGAATCTTTTCAGCAGTACCAATCCACCTGTGATGGAGTTTGAGATCCAAAATTGATTTATCAAAGGATTGGAATCTAAAGGCCCTAGAGGACCGACATCTGGCTTCTCTTGTACTGATTTCTGGTCTAGTTCCTGTCACTTCAACCTCTGTACTCTTCCTTTATACGTTGATGAACTTGACAAAGGTGCTATGAGAACAGGTGTCTTTTTAAGTGATGCCTTAAGACCCACAACCATTAAGTTTCATGAGGAAAAGGCCACGTCTTTCTCAGCCATCCAGCATCCCAACCCCTCACATTGGTTCTGCATTCCCAAAGCCCAGCACATTGCCTGGTTCAGCATGGAACCACATTAATAGATACTGATTGCATTAAGAGTAAGATCAGCTCCAGATGGCAAAACAAAATGACAACTGCCCCAATAGTCAAATCCATTTAACTACCTAAGTGTGTGTCTTGTTCACCTTAAGACTGAAGGACTCCACTAAAGTTTTCTCGGCCAGAAATAGCCCTAATAGTACAGAACAAGTGAAAATGACACCACAAAGAAGCAACCAGTAAAATCGACAGTGTGGGACATTTCTACAGACCACAGATCTCGATATCAGTGACGTCTATGCCATGAAACTTACAAGGAAAAGGAGAGGAAGAAGATGAGCTGTAGAACAAAGGAGATTTATGGGTAAAACAACTAACACAAAAACAAGACCATGCTTGGATTCTGAACAATAAAAAGACATGTTGAGGAAATCTGGGGGAAAATATATAAGGACTGGGTATTAGAAGATTTTAAGGAATTCTCATTAATTTTGTTAGGAGTGATATTGACACAGTGATTGCAGTGAAAGTAGAAAGCCCTTATCAGTCAGCAATGCATACAGAATTGTCTACAGGGCAAAAGACGTAACATCTGTACTTGCTTTTAAACCTCCAAGTAAAGAAGATGTGTACATGTGTGAGAAGGATTAGATAATAGAAGATTGGTTGACAGTGTGAAAGTTTAGGATAGATACACAGAGGTATATACTGTTAGCTCTACTTTTGCATTCATGTAAAAATTTCCAAAATAAAAAGTTAAATGTAGTTAGCCCCGGCACAACAGAAACACCAATGTAAAACTTCAAGACTGCAATTTCGTGCTCTCTTGGATAACCATGTACCAGGGGGACCCAAGACGGCATTCACTGGGTTTTGTGCACTGACTTTGAATGCTTTCCAAATGTGATAATCTGGTGCTCGTTATTTTTGTTTTAAATAAAAGATTATGCATGCTGTTAGAAGCATCAAAACTTCATTCTATTCATCTTGGGCAAAATATTCCTCCCAGCGCTGCCTTTTTCCTTGAAAGAGGAGGAGGGCAGACAGAGGCTGGGGGTGAGAGGTCGGGGAGGAGAAACAACCAGTGAGTTTTCCACTTTCGGGAGAATGGCAAGATCCTCGGGGAGACAGTAAATTGAAATTAAGGCTGTTTCAGGCCGTCTACAGGATATGCCTGCAAATGTAGACATATCTAAATGGTGAAAAAGTCTGTTTGTGCCCATTCATATGAAGTGAATGCCTTGTAATGTGCACCAGCCCCTGGGAATGGTGGCTGGATTCAGGAGCCGAAGCCGGAAGAACGGGATGGATTTGACATAAGTACTTTTAAGTGCTCTGGAGGCTGGGCTGCTCCCTGTGGTTTAATAGCAAGGTCCACTGGGAGCTACAAGGAAGGAGCCAAGTGAATCCCTACAGCTTTTCGTTTTAAGGATAACAAATCTTAAAACAGGTGTGAGCTCAGAAAGATCCTTTTACTTCTTGTTTTTAGTCTGTTGTGGCCGGCCAGCTCTCTGTGTATTATTATCATTCCACAGAACGAGGTCTGGGGTAAGGGAAGGGAGGAGAGGTAAGAGAAGCTGAATAAACAAAAATGGCTTCGAGTGACTAATATTCATTAAGTCTGCTGGTCATGCGCTATGAAATTTATTAAACTGTGGTTTCCAAGAGAATGTATTAGTGGAGCTAATGAACACAAATAAAAAAGAGGCCTCCAGGAAATGGTTTCCTGGGCTTGGATGAGACTGCTGAGTAATGTGACAAGAGATTATAACTTTAAAAGCTCCTATTATAGTCTAGGAGGCTGATTATTGGAAGGGGTTGCCCTGGTGGGGGAGGGAAGATAGGAAGGAGACTAAGATTCCGACTTGTCTGAAAAAAGGGGCCTAAAGCTTTTCATTTATATTCATTAAGGAGGGTGGCTTTGTTCTGAAGGCCTCTGAACCCCTGTGCTGCCATCTGGTGGAGAAGGTACTGGAGAGGTCATGGAATACAGACGGCAACCGCCATCTTTAGGACGTCAGGAATTTGAAGGTTGGCTTTACTGTTTCCTGAGTAATAGCGGTGGAAACCCTTCGGTGTCAGGAGCAGAAACTACCATTCACAGAGTAACCGCTGTCCATAATCTGATTTAAATACGGTATGGAGAGAATTCATTCTGCTGTCCTATTCCATCAGGATCTTAACAATTAATGCTCTGTGACCTTGTAGTACCAGACTAGGGTGTTACTCTTCCTAAGGACATCTGTTTCACAACATGGTCCAGTTTCTCGGGCTTATCTTTGACTCTCCTCTTTCTCTCACACCTATCATCCAACCCAGCAGCAAATACTGTGGCCTTCCTAGTCACCGTATCCCAGGACCTCTTCTTATCATGTCACCCTGATTTGAAGTGTTGGCGGCTCTCTCCCCAAGTAACTGCAAATAGCCTCAAATGGTGGGTCTTGCCTCCAACCTTGCACTCCACAGCCTGTTCTCCCCTCGTCACTAGGTGAACCATTAGAAGATGTTAGATCATTACTCTGCTCTGCTTAAAACCTTCCCGTGGCCCCTAAGCTCACTCAGAGTAAAATTTAAAGTCATACAATGTGTTTCGGGCCCTAACAGATCTGATCCAGCTCCCTCCAAGTTCATCTCTTATGCTCCCCACTCGCTCAGCCTGGCCCAACCGCACTGGCCTCCTTGCCAGTCCTCAGCGAGGCCACACATCCCTGACTCAGCTCCCCTCGCCTGGAATGCCATTTCCCCAGACATTGGCATGGCTCTGTCTCCCGTTCTCCTAGGTGCCCTGTCAAAGGTTACCCTAGTTGGGAGGCCTTCTGCTTCCATTCTACATACCATAATACCTCTTCCTCTTCCTTCAGCATTTTTATTTCTTGTCTTCAACTGATTTTATTAGCAGCATTTATCACCTCCTAAAATGTTATATATTTATGTGTTTATGTCCTTATTTTTGAAAATCTTCCCCAAATCCCCTTACGGTGTAGGTTCCCTGGAACTAGGGGTTTGGAGGGACTATAGTATATTTAACATTGTTTTTGTACTTTCGTTCCTGAAACATCAAAAGCTGGCAATGCCAACATGCTCATAATCTTTAAAGATGCTTACTACCTATAAGCCTCGTAGAGGCAGGTGTTTCGTCTGACTTAGTCTCCCTCTATTGCCAGTGCTGAGTACTGTGTCTGGTAAATGGTATACATAAAATAAAACTTTGTGTGTTTTTTTTTTTTTTTTTTTTGGTAGCATTTGGGTTTATGAAGCTGTGCCTTAGAAAGTACAGAATGCTTCCCAAATTCACATGCCATCCTGGCTCAGGGACCATGCCAATCTTCTCTTTGTCGTTCCAATTTTAGTACACGTGCTGCTGAAGCAAGCACAAGCATTTCTTTATTTAATAGCTTTACGTATTAAATTCACTCATTATAAATATCCAGTTCAATCATATTTCACTCAGATTTTATGGCGTTGTACAATCACTTCCACAATCCAGTTTTAGAATATTCCCCCAAACTCCAAAAAGTACACTCATGCCTATTTGTACTTTATTCTCACAACACCCTCAGCCCCAGGCAACCAATAATCTGCTTCCGGTCTCTATAAACGTGCCTTTTCTGGAGATTTCGTAGATATGGCATCATACATATGTAGTTATTTATGGCCGCTTTAACTCAGTATAATGTTTTTGAGGTTTATTCAAGTTGTAATGTGAATCAGTATGGTTTTTATTTCCTTTTTATTGCTAAATAGTATTGCCGTATGTGGATATACCATGTTCAATCCATTCATCACTTGATGGACATTTGAATTGTTTCTAGTTTTTGCTATGAACATTCACATACATACCTTTGTATGAACATATTTCTCCCCCTTGGGTAGATTTCTAGCAGTGAAATTGCTGAGTCGTATAAGGTTATATTTAACTTTCTGAAAAACTACCAGACTGTTTTCCAAAGTGGACGTACCATTTTGTATTCCCATCAGCGATGCATGACTAATTGTCAGTATTGTGTGTTCTTTACTTTATACCCATTCTAAGAGATATACACAAGTGTATCATTCTGGTTTTAATTTGCATTTCTCTTACAGCTAATGGTGTTGAACATTTTTTAACTCAAAATAATCATTAGTAGTTTTAATATGCTCATTGGTAAAATGCCCATTTGAATCTTTTACCGCTTCTATATCAGCTTATTTGTCTTCTTGCTATTGAGTCCTAAGAGTTCTTTTTATATTATAGATTCTGGTACTTCACTAAAACTATGACTTGAAGATATTTTCTTCCTGTATGTGGCTTGTCTTTCCACTAGTTTAAAAATGTCTTTTGTAATGCAACCATTTTAAATTTGGATAAAGATCACAAAGATTTTCTCCAATATTTTCTTGAAGAAATGGTATAGTATTAGCCCTTACTCTTTGGTCTATAATCCACTTTGAGTCCACTTTTATGTATGGTGTGAAGTAAGGCGCTAAATTCAGTTTTTTTGCAAGAGGAATCCCATTGTCCAAGCACTAGGTTGAAAAGACCATTTTCTTCCCACTGATTGTCTTGGCATCTTTGTTGAAAATCAATTATCCTTTAACAAAATGGGTTCCTTACAGACTCTCAGTTCTGTGCCATGGATATATTAAGTGTTTATCCTAGCAAAATACCTCACTGTCTTTGTTACTGTGACACTATAGTAAGTTTTGAAATCAGGCAGAGTAATGCCTCCAATTTTGTTCTTTTCAAAATTTGTTTTAGCTATCTAGATCTTTTGTATTTACATATAACCTTTACGAATTTTTTTTAATTTTTACAAAAATGTCTGCTGGTATTTTGATAGAGATTGTATAGACTTTATACACCAGTTTGCGGTGAATTACCATCTTAACCATATTGGATTTTTTTATGCTACTAAGTATCAAATTCTTTTGCTAATTTTATTTCAAACTGTTTATTGTTAATATATAGGAACACTTTTCTGTATATATATCACTCATAGATTGAATTCTAGTATTTTTGTGGATTTCGGAGGATTTTTTATATTCATATCACATCAGCGTCTTGAAAAGATGTGTATTTTGCAAAACAGAGTAGAATATTCCGGATAGAGTGTTGTTAAATCAGAAGTTGAGTTGGTTGAATGTATAGCACAAGTCTTTTTTGTTTGATGATTGATTGTGGAATTGTTCTTTCAGTTTTGAAAAGTAAGGTATTGAAATCTCCAACTATTGCTAAATCATCAATTATTTCAATCCTAGCTGGTTTTGCCTCATTTGTTTTGAGATTCTGTTGTTAGGTATGCACATATTTATAACTGTTAGATATTCCTGATACATTGGCATTTTTACCATTATAAAATGTCCCTCTTTGTCTCTAGTTAGAATTCTTGTCTTAGACTCAGTTTTGTCTGATATTAAAATGATCACTTCAGCTCTTTCATGGTTACTATTTACCTGGCATATCATTCCCCATCCTTTACTTTCAACCTATTTCTGTCTTTGAATCTAAATGTATTCTTGTAGTCAGAATATAGTCAGATTATGCTTTTTGATCCATTCTGATAATCTCTTCCTTTTGATCAGGGCATTTAGACCTTTCACATTTAATGTAGTTATTGATATCATAGGATTTATACCTGCCATTTTGCTATTGGTTTTCTATGTTTCCTATATTTTTGGCCCTCTGCTCCTCGTTTTAAAAAATTTTTAAATGTTTATTTATTTTTGAGAGAACATAAGTAGGGGAAGTGGGGGTGTGCAGGTGGAAGAGGATCCAAAGCAGGCTCTGCACTAACAGCACAGAGCCCATCGTGGGGCTCAAACTCATGAACCACAGATCATGACGAGCTGAAGTCAGACACTAAACCAACTGAACCACCTCTGCTACTCTTTTAATACCTTCTTTAGTGTTAAAAAATATTTTTAGTGTATCATTTAAATTTCCAATGATATTATTCAATACTATTTTATTTGTGACTATTCTAAAGCTTACAATGTACATTTTAATTTACCATAATATAATTCATAGATCAATACTAACAAGTCTGGTAAAATATAGAAACTTCAGTAAACACATTCCTTTTCTCCTCATTTGTATTATAATGGTCATATATACTGCATCTAGCTATGCTTTAAAACTAACCATATTGTGTTCTACTTATGGCTTTATATATAACCATAGCAACGGACTTCAGGCTACAAGAGACACAGACCCTTTGGATGGCTGCGGACCTTATCCCTCCCACCATGCTTAGCATAGTCATTGCTCACTATTCATAATCAAATGACACCCCTTCCACCTTGACAATGAAGCTGAATGTTTTCTTGGCCTGCCTGAGGGCCAAATTCTGTATGCAGATGCAGCTGGGCCCTGGATGGGGTGAAATAAGTACAGCCATAGACAAGGAATTAGCGACTCTCACTGTTCTTACTTGAAGTTCAGCAGTGTTACGAGCATGAAGGATCTGCTGACTGTTGCCTGCTTTTGGCTGAGTTCCAGAAATAGTTGCTTTTATCAGTTTTGTCCGGCTTTATAGTTGCTTTTGGAGAAAGGATTTGCTGATCACCCTCACACACCCACATATGTGAATTCTGTAACCCCAACTAAATTCTAAGCTCTCAGAGGCAGCTACCACATTTTTTCACTACTTGTGTACTCATTAAACAAGGTTAATTGCTTTTCCTTATTGTATTATATCTTGAGATGGAAAGGCCTGAAAACATTCTCGCAACATTGGAGATGATGTTGCTTGAATATATGGCAGGAAGAATCACAAAATAGGCATTGCCAGCATGCTCTCTTCTGAAAAAGAGAAATTTAAATGCCCGACAAACTTCACTGACTAAGTTTGAACAAGGCCCCGGGCAAAAAGAGTCATGGATACCAATCTAGTGTTCCAGAAGTTGCTCCCTTCAAAAGACCGGAAGAGAAAAAAATAAGTTTCTATAAAATGGAATTTTGTTGCTTTTATGGGAACTTCTATACAGGAGAAAACATACATGTTTTTCTAAAGTATGTTGAAGAAAACTTTTCTAAGGCAATATTTAAGAAATGAGACTATAATTATGTTTCTGTAGTGTTTTATATTGAGATATGCCTGAGGCTTGGGAATGGGCTAGAGGGCTTTTTAAAAGTCCCTCCTAAGTATCTTCAAATCTTGATTTATGGATCCCTCTACCACATCTATATCCATAGTGGTATCTTCTGAGTTAAAGCACGGAAGATTTATCAGTTTTCAACATACAAGAACCTCACACATTTATCTCTCCAGTGTCATGACAGTAGACTTTCACAAGGCCTAAAAGCTTGGCACAGACTTTAAATTGTGCTTTTATTTTTATACCTTTCCTATATTGAAAGACAAATAGTAGAGGGAAAAGTGAACTCTGTAAGAGAAGGAACACAGCTGATACCCAGAGTGGGCCACCCAGAATGCACCAGGATTAATGACAACTTGGCCTGACAGCATCCTCTGACCACAAGAGATGAAGTCACCCTAGGAAGTGTTTTGTAGAAGAAAATAAAATCAACAGAACGAGAAAGAGAAGAAAAACCATGAAGTCTGAAATATACATTGCCCAAGTATTTTCCCCCATTAATTTTGGAAGCCCATGAGTGTTTCCAGGGAAATTTAATCTGCATGTTTCTGAACCATTTACACTTAACTCACCACCATGTTGTTTTGTAAGAGTCATTTGCTGTCCAAGGAGCCCTCTGAACCCTGTTCATAAAGATTTTTATACAAGTGATTATTTTCTTTTTCCTTAAAATGAAATCATGCATTTCCAGATCGAAAGGAACATTGAAGTGAACCCTGAATTTAAAACTTGTGAGGCACAAGACAGATTCGGTTTTGATCAAAGTGTATCCCCATACAGATTTCCAACCCAAGGTGTTCAGTTTTGGCAGCATCACAGTAAAGGGCTTAGTTTAAAAGACATAGGTTTATTACTCCTTAGGAAAGCCAAAGTGAACCCTCTTGGGCCTTTTTTTTTTTTTTTTTAAGCAAGGCTTTTAAGGAACTCAGCCAATCTAACAATCAACTCTGCTTTAGAATCTGTCCTGCATAAAGCTTGAACTTGAGTGCATGGGTGAGACACTGGAAGTACTAGAAATGGTTCACCATTTGAAGGACTTTGTAGTACAAGGGACTAAGCTGTTAAATGAAGGCAAAATTACCTCCTACCTCAGAGGATCGCTGTGAGGATTAAATGAGATAATTGTGTAAGGTGCTTAGCATAACTAGAACACAGTGGTAAGACCTCAATATATTTTAGCTAAGTGGGGCACCTGGGTGGCTCAGTCAGTTAAGTGTCCAACGTCGGCTCAGCTCATGATCTCACGGTTCTTGTGTGCGAGCCCCCCATCGGGCTCTGTGCTGACAGCTAGCTCAGA